CACCACACTCCTGGGAGTTTTTACAGGTGAGGCATCTGAAGGTCAAAGAGTTATACAACTTGCTCAGAGTCACAGAACTACTAGTAAGCAACTAAAGTCAGATCCACTGGACTGTAAAACTTGGAGTCTTCTTATTTGTTCCTCTGTCTCTAAAATTAATAATAGGTATAAAGACTACATGTGGGTAAGATCCAGATGGTCATACTAAATTCCAGTCCAGCTGCACTCAAGTATGTGACCTTGGATGAATCAGTTCATCTCACTGAGTCTTAGTTTCCTTACCTTCATGATGCCAAGAATAATAGTACCTTTCTTATAGAGTTATTGTGAGTAAAATAATGAGGTAATTCATGTAAATAACTTAACATGATGAGCACTCAACAAATTTTGGTTATTTTATTGTCATTTATACCACTACCACTTCTTGTCTACTCTTTGCTAGGTTCTGTGCTAAGCACTTAATGTGTGTTAACTTTTCCATAGCTCTGCGAGGCAGATTTTAGATCCTCATTTGCACAAGGAAAACAGGCTCAGAGGCGTTGAGGCTCTTGCCTGAGTTGAACCCAAGTCTGTCTGCCTCTTTGCTTTCTACCCATACACTGGCTGTGAATCCCTTTGCTGGACTTTTTGTGGTGATACGGCAATGATGCTGCCCTCAGTGATGGTGAGGTCAGTGTAGCTGTAGGTGTTTGCCCACTGAATAAGCAGCAGAACCTGGCCCTGGCCCTGGCCCTGGTCCCGGCCTGTGTGACTGCAGAAGCCTGACCACTCTCCCCTGTAGCTTAAGGGGAAACAGAAGCTTGGTATTTACGGGTCTGCTAATTCCACTTTTAGGAAGCTTGAAATTGGGAATACTTGGAAGAGATATCCAGAGTTGTTTTTTTTTATGTTACAGTTTTATGCCTCAGTAGCTTCCAGAAGGCGTATGGCCTTCCCAGTAACTTTTATTTCTAATGTGTTCCTAACTCAGAATTAGTAAGTTTGGACAGAATTAATAGGGCACTTGGGGGCACAGAATAAATCCACCCCCCTTTTTCTGTTAATTTGGAAAGTCTCTGTGAAATGTGTGGATTGTTCCAGCCATGTGGTAGAGCTCCATAAATCCATTGCTCATAAATGATAGGAACTCACACTTGCATCATTCAGCAGGATCATTCGTACAGTGATTCTTCTCAACAGAAGGAAGGAAACTTCATTTGATTTTCTTGAGATTACCTCTTCCAAACAAAACAGGTTTGGAATAACCAACAAAAGTGAAAAATTCAAATTGTCATCAGAATTCCAGCTTGAGCTTTTAGCATGGAGACAAACTCTTGGCCTGGCTAGAAAGAGGCCAGACAGTAGGCAGGCTTTAAACAGCTTGTATTTGTTCAAGTTTCAGAGTTAAATGAACAACAGTCATTAGGGGAGTGATTTTCCAGACTCCTTAACGTAAGTTTGTATCATCTGCCCTGATTTGGTCACCTTTACAGAGGTGCCCTTGCACTCCGGAGACATGTGTAATCACAGTGGTGGTAGTCTTGTGTCTGTTACTCGACATTTTGTGGTGCAAGAGCGGCCCCATCAGAGCTCTTGAGCAGCCTGGCTCACAATGATGTCCGGAGAACTGGCCTTTGGGACTGTAGGTCTCACCCGTGGTAAAAATCTCCTAGAACTGGTTCCAGTATGGTCTCACAACTTCTCTTTTAAAGAAACCTACCAGTGTGCAGAACGAATGAGTCTCCTGGGTTCCATGTCTCTTCCTGCTTGGCTGGGTATAAACATTGTTTTGGAAGCAATTTTTCACGCATCTGCCAAAATCTGCAGCCTTTCCTCACAACCTATTCTTTGCTTCTCCAGCATTTCCTATGTTTTTTAGGTAGGAATATAACCTCACATTTTTGGTGATAGTTGAAATTAAAATGTGTATCCATTCTCTTTGTGCCTGTTGTAATGTTGCCCAGGGAGCTCATTTCCAGTTACAAAAAGAGAAATAAAAGTTGAAGGCCAGACGTAAGGGGGCAGAGGCCTATCACATATCTGAATTCATTTTCAGACGTTTTCAGCTAGGGGTGGCTGAGAGTGCTATACTCAAGGGCAGAGGCAGAGGGGTGCTAAGGGACACCATTATTTGTTGAAATCCATGCTTATCCATTCGGGGCATGGCTTCTGGAGTGGAGATTGGCTGGAAAAGCTGAGCCGAATGAGTAATGACAGCTGAGGATGTGGAGAGTGCACATGTGAGGAGCCTCAGCCCTACATTCCAGGTCCGGCCTCTCTCCTGCTTTGCTGTACAGCAGGTCAGGAGATTTCTCCTATGGCAGGCTCACCCTACTTAATATGCTGAGTTGACCTGTGGCTTAGAAGTCATGTGAAGTGCCTAGCGTGGTGCCTGCCAGGCACAGATCCTCACACACAGGAGCAAGGTTTAAATTTCAGTGATAATAGTGCACCATGAGGTGGTCACCTGGGAGGAGCCTTGCAGCTCAGCAGTGTTTGGGGGGAACACAGGAAAGTGGAGAGAAAGCCTCTTAGGGTCTGTGGTCCTTGAACTCAACAACAGCCATAGTTTCTTTTTGCTTCCCTTGCACAACTCAGGAGACTACACATATGCATAGCCCCGGTACTTATTTTTAGGGGTGCCAACTCCTCTGGAAGCTAGGACGTTTCTGTTGTTTTTGCTTTAAGTCCCCTTCTCTTCTTACCCCTTCGCCCCACTTGAACTCAGCTATGTTGTGATTCAGTTTATTTTGTTGAAAATTCAGTCCCCTAGGGAAAATATGATAATGCTGTTTTCAGACAGCTGTGTTTGGGAGCAAGACTGACTTAACCAGCTGGCTGGCATCATTGGAGCCCAAGGACCTGCCAGCCCATGGAGAGCAGCTGTTTTGGCTGAAATTGTCATCATTCTTATGACTTTGCTTCCTATATATCATCTTCAGAGTTCTGCTTTTAAATGCACTCACAAAGGAGAGAGGGCCATTGGAAAGAGTGTAGTATATCTAATGCTACCCATAGTTGAAAGAAGTGGGGTGCCCCCACCTTCCTGTTGTTACTCATGATTGTTGAGAAGGAGGAAATCCAGGAGGAGGCTAGCTCCAGAGTGAGACATGATAATGAGTAGATCAATAAATATTGATATCTTAATACAGTGTGGTTGTTACACAACCATTAAGAATCATGTTTAAGGGGCGCCTGGGTGGCTCAGTCGTTAAGCATCTGCCTTTGGCTCAGGTCATGATCCCAGGGTCCTGGGATCCAGCCCCGCATCGGGCTCCCTGCCCTGTGGGAAGCCTGCTTCTCCCTCTCCCACTTCCCCTGCTTGTGTTCCCTCTCTCGCTTGTGTCTCTCTGTCAAATAAATAAATAAAATCTTTAAAAAAAAAATCATGTTTAAGATTTTTTAAAGAAAGGAGAAATGTTGAAATATAATGTTAGATGTATAGGATACAGAACTGTGTAGATTATGTAATCCCAATTAGGGAAAATGGTTTTTTGACATTAAATGAGGTAACTCCTACAAAGCACTTAACCTGATACCTGGCATGGCAAATGCTCAGTAAATCACAGCTACTGGATGCAAAAACGTTCCCCACAGGGAACGTGTTTACCTCGTGCATTGTGATATCCAGAGTACTTGGTATGAAGTAAATGCTCAAAAGATCTTTCTTGACTGAATGAATTAGTGTTATCATTTACATGCATTTGAAAAGAAATCTAGGGGCTCCTGGGTGGCTCAGTCAGTTGAGTGTCCGACTCTTGGTTTCAGGTCAGGTCGTGCTCTCAGGGTCCTGGGATCGAGTCCCACATCAGGCTCCTTGCTCAGCAGGGAGTCTGCTTGGGATTCTCTCTCTCCCTCTCCCTCTGCCCCCACCACTTGTGCTTTCTCTTTCTCTCTCTCAAATAAAAAAATCTTTAAAAAAGAAAAGAAATCAAGAAAATCTAGGGATACAGCTTTCTATGTTATCTGTAATTATATCTATAAGTGAGGCAGCTAATCTCTGTCTTGGTTCTTTATTATAAATGGTGAGGACAGTACATCTTGCTCCAGGTCACTGAGAACTGAATGAGCCACATGTAAAACGCACACAGTGACAAATCCCTAGGGAAGTGACATTGTGTGGTGGCTATGGTGATCATGGTAAGCACCATGTAAGTGTAGCTGTTATAATAATTACATCATGCTTGTATCTGTAAAAAGAAAAGATATTGTCACGATTTTTGTCTGTTGTTTTGTTCTTGCTTTTTTACCCAGGACTTTACTTTTTTTTTTTTTTTTTAAGTAAAAGCTTAAAAGAAAAAAGTACATAAGAAAACTCAAATGCTTATAGTGGTTGTCTTTAAATAGTGGAATTAGAAAGTTTTTCTCTTTTTTTCCTAATGCTTTTCTACATTTTCCAAATTGTAGTATTGGTTACTTTTATCATCAGCCTTTATTTCCCCTTTTAAATGAGAAAACTCTCAGCATCAAAGATGACACAGAGCTCCTGAACTAGAAAGCAGTCTCCATCTAAGGATGACTGAGGACCAGGAACTGGTTGGTGCCCTGCTCTGGGCTTCTTCTTGGAAAGTTATTTAAATGCAGTTTCACGTTCTAAGAAAGTTGCAAATCAATCATTAAGAACTGGTCAGTAGAACCAGTGAAGAAAAGTAAAGGGTTTTGATGAACTGGTTCTGGACAAAGGTAGTCAAAACACTCAAAGCCCTACCAATAGACAATGGCTTATATTTAGCACAGTTTGTTCCCTGGAAAGAACAACAGAGAGAGGACCAGTGAAAGTGACGGCAGAAGGGGCTAGAAATGGAAGTGAATGGTTGGCAAACTCCGAGAATCACTTCCGAAAAAAAATGTTTAGTGCCAGTTCTGAGAGATGTTTCAAATGAAGTCCTGAGCTAATGCTGGTGGTCTTTTCGGGTCTTCTTGCTGATTCTTTGATACCACCAAGCTTTCAGTTGTGCTGGTTGGGGCTTGCTCTCCCTCTCACAGCAGCGTGTAACCCTTCTATGCAACTTCACTTGCAGATATTTAACACCGTGCCTGATACACCTCTCACCAATGCCCAGCTGCACCTGTCCCGGAAGAAGAGCAGTGACTCCAAGCCCCCTTCCTGCAGCGAGAGGCCCCTGACGCTCTTCCATGCCATGCAGTCAGCAGAAAAACGTGAGTCCCATGGCTCGGGGCCAGCAAGGTGCTCAAGAGATGTCCTGTGCCGCCTCCCACCTGCTCAGGGTGCACATCTCCAGCCTCTCTGTGTGCTGCTGTCCTGTGTGTCCTTGAGGATGGTGTGTGGCTGGGCCCTCCCCGGTTTCATTGCTGAGTAAGCCTGGGTAGGACAGGAAACAGTGTTAGGAAAATGAAAGGCTAGGGCCACTTGCTGTGCAGGATTCTCTCTTCCAGATCTCCTTTGGGCAAACAGCTGAGCATTGTTTCCTCCTGTGACACAGTAAGAGCTCAGCTCCGGCATCACTGCCTTGGCCCCTCTTTGGTTAGCAGCTCCCACAGAAGCAGTTTCCTTTTCTCAGTTTGTCATTAAATGCTTATTAGTGCGAGTCACGTGCCCCACTTGAATGTGACTCTGAGGCCAGGCCCTGGCTTTTCTCATCCTGCTACTCCACCTCTTACAGAACCTGGCATGGAGTGGACACTTAATAAATGGGTGAACTTAATGGATGAATTAATTAGAGAATAACACTGTCTTTGTTCCAAGCAGCACAGTGTTATCACCCCAGTTTTACAGAGTTCTTTTTTCATGTCAGAATGGAGTTCTTTGCAGTTATCAGGTGACTGGGCCCTAAACTATTCAGGCTTGTTTCAGCTTCTGGAATAAGACAGCTGAGTGGTGTAGTGTAGGAGTTGAGGGCTCAAGCTCTGCCTGGAGTCCCGTCAGACCTGGGTTCTCGTGCCAGCAGCAACACACGAGCAAGCCTTTTACCATCTCTCAGCCTCTGTTTGCTCATCTGTAAAGTAGGGATAAGATTGCCTCTCTTATAGGGATTTGTTAGGGAGTAAATAAAATTTTCTATTTAAGCATCTGGCACAAGTCTTGGACTTGGCAAGGGCTGCTGGCTGAGAGCTGCTGCTATTATTACTAGTTATTGTTTAATCACGCACAAACACCAAGGCTCATTCTTTCACACAACTGACACTTGGATGTTGCCTGCGAGAGATTGGGAATATAAACATCAGACCTTGTCTGTAAGGTGCTCACAGTTGAGGGAGGGGAGTAGGTAGGTGAATAGATAGAGGTAAGTCACCGTGATCACCGCCCTCGGAGAGAGAAGTCCATTCACAGAGACTGCGGAACACGGACAAGTGAGAGAGCACGCCCTGGCACCAGGTTGCCTGGCTGCTAGTTCTGTGTCTGCCGTCTCTGCACATGACGTGGGCAAGTCACCTAGCACCCCAGGGCCTCAGGCTCCTCTTCTGGAAGACAGGGGTAACAGTTTCTACCTCATAGGGTTGTTGTGCAGATTAGACTACTTCACATGGTACCTGGTGCAGAGTAAGTGCTCAGTAAATGCTGGGGGGATGTTGTTGTTATTGTTGCTGTTGTTAACCTTTATGAAGCACAGTAAAGACAAAGAGCAGAAGAATGAATCACTTGGCCTTGAAGAGGAGAGAAAATATATATGTGGATTGGCATCTTTTTATTTGTCACCAAAAAAACCTTTTTTTTTTTTAACAAAAAACAGTTTTTATCCCCTGTATTTCAGAAGTAATGGCCTTCATTTTCATTCTGAAAACAAATCTTTGCTGTCCCCAGACCATCACTGCATTTCAAGATGTCATACTGTCCCATAAAATGGCTAGACCTTGGTGAATTTAGCACCATTTGGGTTGTTTCAGATATTTAGCTTTTATGAGTAAAGCTACTGTTATCTTCGTAGCTAAATCTGTTCACAGGCATGATCATTTCCTTAAGCTAAATTCCTGGAAGAATTTCTAGGTCAGAAGATATGCACAAGTTTCAGGGCTGTGAGCACTATGGGGTTGAGTTCCCTTTAAATAATAGCCTGTGTTCCTCTTAAATATGTGGCTTGGGCCATTCTCACTTTGGTCTACACATGGCCTGGGCCCCTCTGAGTGTAGAGGGAACACTAGGAACAGGACTGGTCTCCCCATATCTACCATGAACGAGAACGGCATTGGGCTGTGGGGTGATGTGTTTCTCACGGTGCTAGGAGAGCCACAGTCACCTGACGTTTGGTACTAAGCAGTGGACAGTGTAGATTAGGACCCATCAGACAGTTATATTGAAGCAGAAGCAGCTTTGGAACAGATCTCAAAGCATATTCTGGGAGCATGTTAGAAAGAAGATAGAGATTAGGAGAAAATCAATTAGATCTTGACCCAAGATTAATTTGATCACACGAGGTAGAGGATGGAAGGTAAGGACATGTGAGAACAGACAGACCTAAGCTGAGGAACGAGCTGCCGATGTCTCTGTCTGCAGACAGTGGACAGAAGGATGGAAGACGAGAAGACAGTGAAGCAGCCTGTCTTTCCTCTGAATGTTACGAAATGCTCCCTGGAAACAGGAATGGAACCTCGGGTATTTGAGGGGTGCTTAGCTTTCCTCCCTTTCTCAAAGAAGAAATGTTTTCATTGCAAAGTATGTAGGCAGGCATATATACATAGACTTTTTATAGTTTGTTTTGAAAAACCTTTTTTTTCCCAAGAAACTAGAACGATATCCAAGCTGGCTTGGAAAGTACCACAGGATGGGTAGGTGACTGGCCAGGAGCTGGCGGGTTCTGCTGGCACCCCACCCCAGCTTGTAACCCAGCCACCCCTCACTGTGACATGAGCAGGTGACAGGGCACTGTCACGTTTTCACACACCTGACTCTTCCTTCTGTCTCATCTGTGGATAAAGACAGAAGGCTCCTTTATCAAAGCACTTTGCTGAGTTTACTCTGTAGAATTAAAGTACAAATAAACACGGCAGGTCATTTGTGGGTAAAAAAAAAGAAAAAAATGTGTATTTCCGTAGGGTGATGCTTTCAGTTTAAGGGAACTTTCGATACCTAGCTCAGTTTCTTCCAAACTTGAATCATTTGCATACACCTTCATTCACTCTTTGGTTGACAAACACATAACTCATATGCTGTCATTTAATACATTTCTTTAAATTGATTTGTAAAGTTTCAGTGCATAACATAGTTTCTGGTTTACAGTAGACACTTGATACACTTTTTTTAAAGAATAAGTAAATGAACCTGTAGACCATTGAGATGATGATGGCACATCTATCCAGGACAACCATTTTTTAATGCTATGCTATGCTTGGTACTTATTAAAGATGCTAAGGTTGAGGCCTAGAAAGATGAAATTATTTTGCAGAATCATATAACAGAGAGAAGGCAATGGATTCAGAATGAGGTTTATTTGTCTGCAAACCTGTGGTCTTCCTACAACATTATGTTACCAATTCTTGACAGAATCTGAAAGAAAGCAGATCGCGGGAGGAACACAGAGAAAAGAAGAGAATATGAAAATTAATTTTGCAATGTGTTATATATAGGAAACAAAGGAGAAGAATGTGGAATTTTGAAATTTGAGTCATTGGGAGAAGCTTGGTGCTATGAAAAGAAAGGAGAGACAATGAATTGCGTTTGTGACAAAAGAAGTTTAAACTCCTGAGATTCTATGTAACGTTTCCAAAGGTTATTTGGAAGAGTGATTCTAGAGGTACATCCTGAAAGTGAGCATTTGAACCCGAATATGGGGTAAAAATGCCAGCAAAGGGAATATTTAAGCTGGAAAAAAAAATTTCCTTTCTGAGAATTTTTCTTTGTGATGCTCTGGCTTCTCTGGATATGCTGGCTAAAAGTCACCCTGCCCAGCTGGTCATGAAGTCTGGTGCTGGCCATTGTATGGAAGACTTGCATCACTTTTGACCTCAGTAGTCTCACTAATCTCCTTTGACTGTGACTTTCAGGCTATTAATTATCCTGTTCCCATTACCTACGTGAGAAGAGAATTACTTCTCTGTAATACCAGATCATTCTCTCTTTACATGTTCAGCTATGATTATTACTTGCAGGTATGTTCATTTTGTATGATTCTTCTGCATTTTTGAAGTAAATGTTTAGTCTAATAAAGTTGGATTATTGAAATGCAAAAAAAATTAATTTTAAAGCCACTCACTTCTTTACATGGCCTCACCCTATTCAGTAAAATCTCTAAAAACATGAATTTGGTGGTCTCACCATGTTATTCTCAAGTATACATTAAAATAAATATGTAACCATTAAGATAAAGAATGTTCATCTGACATCTTACCTCCCACCTGTGAAATGTATGCCGTGGTTTAGAGTCCACAGATCTTGCTCTGAATTTTTGGGTGACTCAGTTCCTTTCTCTTAATGTGAATATACGAACTCGAGTTTCTTTGGACTAGAGTTGGGTTTGGATATTGTCAATTGGCTGTTACATCACTGTGGATGCTCACTGTGTTCCCCTGCCATTTCCATGTTGTGCACTTTCAGTTCCTGTGACACCTGTCCAGGTTTGATGTGACCTTACCTTTCTTCGGGTTCTTGCCACAGAACAAATATCTTGTTAGAAGGATTGCTCTTGTGTGGACACACGAGTATATCTCCACATACTCCTTCTCTGCCTTCACACTTGGCAGATGATGTTTTAAGAACCTTATTTCCTCTTATTTCCATCTGTCCGATCTCTTTTGAGTTCAATTATGCTTTTCTCCTCACTGATGCACTTGCAGTTGAGAATTTTCTCTGTATTCCATTGGTTAGCCCTCTCTTCAGTCCCTGTTGAAATGCTTACTGGGGCTAAAACTCCCAGCCGTAGCTCACTTGGGTGCTTCCCTTTGAGAGGTTCCATTTGTTGATCATCAGCACATATTTTTCTCTCCCCTTTCTGCAGTGTCCCTGCTCTGTGCAAAAGGTGGAGCCCATTCTTTTGTCATAGACATGAGTCTGTGCCAACGTGCTTGGCCTCAGGCTGTCAATCGCCTCCCTCTTCCAGGAGAGGAAGCTCCTGAGAGTCACCTTGGGAATTCATAGTCTCAGTCTTCTGTCTTCGTACCTCCACTTCAGGCTCATGGAAGCATGTGACATAATAGCTGATGCTCCTGGATGTGTGTCTGGTTTTCCAGAAGTGTTTTTCTTTCTGTGTACATAGACGACTTGTGTC